CAGCTATTGTGTGGGGTTTTTAATGTTGCAAGAATTTATATTGGGAAAAAAGTGCCTTTTTTTTTTTCCCCTCAATGCCTTGGGAAATGTCATCCAGCAGGAATGTTCCCAAGAGCTGATCATGGCGGAGAGGAGGATGGGCTCGAGCAGGGACTGCATGCCCAGCTCCCATCCCTGTCCCCAGCCTCCCAGGACCAGCTCCTTAAGCTGTTGCTCCCATGGGTGCCCCATCCCTGCTGCCCACACTCTGCCCCGTGCTCCTGGGGGACCTCTGTAGCAGCAACAGCAGAGGCAGGAGGGAGGAAGCAGATGCCTGGAGAGGGACAAGCTGCTCACAGAGCCACTCCTGCTGCAGAGGCTCTTAGTTTCATGTCCTCTTGGCTGTGCCAGTGGCCTCTTCCACTTCCAGCTCTGGATGGAGTTTACAAGAAACGCTGGAAGTCCCAGCCCTGTGGTGTGTCATCATTCAAACTTCTCTTTAATAGTGTCCCAAAGTAATTTATTTTTCCCAAACATCAAAGCCCCTCAAGCAATCTGGGAGAGGCAGGGCTTCCCCCCAAGCCCTGGCAGCTCCCACACACCCCTGCCCTGCTCGTGGGGGCTGGACACCCTCCTTGGCTGTCCTGGGGCGAGCGATGGTCTCAGGTGGGACTGTGGAGAAAGGGGGGGCAGAGCTGTGACACTGCACGCAGGATGAGAAGGCAGATCTTCCCCCTGAAAACACGAGGGAGATGTATATTGATTGCTCTGCTGTGAGGGTGTTGATGCCTTTTCTGGGCTCAGCATCACATCACAGACCACTTCCACAAGACTCAGGAGAGGTACAAAGGGAAAAAGAATAATGAGGAGAAAGAAACAGCGAGGAGATGTGAGTCTGTGTCTCCTTCTCTTTTGCTGTGATCCTGAGCTGACCTCTACCCTTCAGCATGCCAGAAAATGCTGGGGATGCAGGCAGAGCATCTCCTCAGTGGGAACCTCATGCCCAGGGTGTCCCCCCCGTCCCCCCAGCACTGCTCTTCTCCCCCGCCGCAGGAGTTTTGTAGAGGGAATTTGACAGAAACATTGCAGCAGCCTCTAAAAACACAGTGTGCTGCTGTCCCTGCCAGCACTCCATGCTGGTTTGCCTCAAGGAATCTGTGAGATCCGTCCTGCTGTGATCTGTAACAATATTGGGATTAAATTAGCTTCCCTGAGCTGCAGAGGGGTCAGTGTGTAAGGCCCCTGGTTAATCCAGCAGGCCAGAGAGAACAGAAGCCTCCCTGCATTGGGAAAGGAAAACAACAGGGTCTGTTTGCAATCCGTGGAGCTAATTCAAACAGCATTCCTCAAACAACAGGGGAAAAGGGCCTTCAGAGCAAATGGGAAAGGAGTGTTTCCCAACATGCGCATAACATCCCTCCTTGGGGAGAGGAGAAACGTCCAGACTGCACGGCTGAGGTGTCAGAAAACCTGGCAGGCATGAGAAAGGGGTCTGAAGAGCTGGGCAGCTGGTGTGGCACATGGGAACTACCCCCTGCTCTGGGCATGGTGAGCCCAGAGCAGGTCAGTCCTACTGGCCCTCACGAGGAGCACCTGGCTGCTGCCTGCACCACACCTAGGTGGGGTGGAGCACCTCATCCCACCCAGCTCTGTGAGTGATGGGATCTTGCTCTCCTGTCTCCCACAGAGAGTTTTGCACCGGTGTAATTATGGCTCTGCAGCTCGTGGTGCACAGCACCAAACAGGGATGACAATCCAGGGGCAGTCCCAGATGGAGATGCTTCCTGCCCTGGCCGCTGCCAGGCTGCCAGTGCCGCCACCTCTGAGCACAGCCAGCAAGCAGCTCTGGCTGGATGAGAGCCTGGGCTTGCTTGGGAAGCAGAGGCATGCCCGAGTGATCCTATCAGGAAGTCAGCTCCTCTGGCTCCCACTTCTGTGGAAGGCGTGGTCCTGCGTGCCCCTGTGCCCACCTCAGCATGGGCTGTGCAGCCCCTGCAGGAACCCAGTCGTTGTCCTGTAGCCAGAGCGAGTGTTGATGCAGTGAGTGGGCACTGGGAGAACAGTGTTCCTGGGACTGCAGGCTGCAGGTGTGCAGGTGTTTACAATTACAAATAATTGCCCAGGCTATCAGTCATCCTGCAGCAGAGAACCCTCGGAGCAGCAGACCACAGCAGAGCTCTCATCGAGCCTGGGAGCGTCTCAGACTCTTCAGGACGTACTTGCTTTCCTTCAGCTTTCTCTGTGAGCACCTTTTCTGCTTTTTGTTTATGCTGAGATATTATCAAAGGCTTATGAGGCACCAGGGATGAGTAATACGCCCTCTGTGCCAGCGGGGAACTCGTAGGCACTGGTAGGGTTAACGTGGGTCTGACAGAAGCTGTGGTGCTCAGTGCTGGAGCTGCTGGGTGCAGACCTGGGTGCATCCCCGGGCCCACTGACCTCAGCTGCACCCCGGGCTGAAGGACACGGCTCCTGGATGTCCCTGTGGTCCACGGGCAGGGTGGGCCTTCCATGGAGAAAACCCCTGTCCCCTTGTTGAGAGAGGCAGAGGGGTACACAGGGCAGGAACTACAGAGGGATGAAATTGGACAAAAAAAATGGCAAGTTTTTAACATAAGGGAGAACAACGTGCTTAAAGGGTGGTCTGGGGGATGTGGGGGAGTTGGTGCTTCCTCTGCAGAAACTGGAAGAAAGGTTGTCCCCTCAGCTTTGTTCAGTGCCACTGTGCCCGAGTCCCAGCTGGAGGAGCCTGGGCTGCCGGGCACCTGCTGTGGGCGTGAAGGAACCCTCCAGTCAGAGCTCTGCTTTCAATCTGGAGTCACTTGGCATCTTAGCCTGCTAAAATGTGGAATTTCATGTCCTTTTGTACAAGAGAGAAACAACCTGTTTAGGATTAATTTAGGATCAGCCTGAACAGCCATTAGTTGAAGAAAACCAACTCAGTAAACAAACTCCTGTCAGAGGGAGAAGAAATGTGGGACTTGATGCTGGATTTACTGTGGAGGGTGTTAAGGCAGGATTTAGTGTGATTTACCATCCCCTGCAATGACACCTCTAGCACCAGGGCACTGTGAGCACGTCCTTTTGCCCTCAGCCAGACCCGCTGCTCTGTTGGCTCATTCCTGCCATGATGGTAGCCCTGCTCCTGTCAGCACTGCCAGGACAGAGCTCTGTCTTCAGGGTTTATTGCTCACTTATAAACATTTGGCCCAGATTGAAACTTGATCTACAGCTGTCAACTGGGGCTACGGTGCTCCAAGATCAGAGAGGAGAAGGTTTGGCTGTTCAACAGCAGCATAAAAAAAGATCTTGGGTTCATCAGATTTTTCATTCTTACAGTCAACAGAGTGATGTTGTCCCAGAGCAACATTTGATCGTACTTGAGAATTCCCAAGAACAGAAAGTAAAAAAGGTCCAAATATAAATAGAAAAAGGTCTTCAATATGGAGACTTGTGGCAGCGACTGCTGAGCATCTGCCAACATTCAGAACACATTCACAACGCTCTTGTGAGATAACAAGGGTCTCAGTGATATCATTTACAAGTGGGAAACGAGGGACATTTAATGAGGTGTCAAGGAAAATTCAGGATGAATAAAACTTCCATGTACATGTGCATTGACACACACACAGTGCAAAGGAAAAAGCTGCAGAAAGGATGAGTTTTCCCTCCCACCTGTTTTGGGTTATTTTGCACTCTTGTGTTCCCACCTGCCCCCACACAAGCGCTGTGCAGAGCAGAGAAGATAGGTGTGTGAGGAATTCAGGAGGCTCTCCAAACCCATGTGGCTGGGGGGCTGCTCAATGCAACATCTTGTACCCATATCCCTGCCCTCCTCTTCCTCGGGGCTGTCAGGTCTCTGCCAAGTCCCACGGAGCATTCCAGGGCTCATGCCAGGGGCTGTCAGGGATGCTTAGGGACCCATCTTCAGTGGGGGCTCGTGGGCAGTAGAATGTCCAAGGGGAACTGCCCTGGCCCCAGCAAGGGACCAGGAGGGATTCAGGAGCCACCGTAGGGCCTGTCACAACCTTCAAATGAGCCCATGCCCTATGGCTTCCAGCTTAGAGCTCTGCCAGCCTTGGGAGTCTCCCCCAGGAGACTGCCAGGGTCCATGGGCACAGTACACTGAGGGGTTGGCCATCAGCTTCTCACACAGCTGAGCCCTGGGACCACCTGCTGGGGCACCAGGGCCCTCATCAGAGCTCCAGGGCCATGGCCAGAGCCCTGCAAGAACCAGGGACAAGGGTCAGCCGTGCCTGGCACCCACTGCCACTGGCCATGTGGCACCACTGGCCCTTGGGTGGCTGGTGGACACTGATTCTGCATGTGGCTTGTACAGGCACCGGGTCCAGCACGGTTCCATGCCCACGTGTCCCGGGGCACCAGTTCCCATCTGAGCTCCAGCGCAGGATCCTGCTCATCCCGCCCGGCACGGGGAGTCTCAGGGAAGGTGCCCAAGCCCTGACGTCCCCTGTGCACCTGAGAGAAGCAGAGTCTGTCCCATAGCCCTCCTGGACACCCCAGTTCAGGCAGAGGAGGAAAGGGGAGCTGATGGCACCAGGAGCAGAACTGCCAGGCTGCTCAGGTGTGCTGGAGGGCAGGTGTCCAGGCAGCCCCACCACAGCCACACTGCTCTCCTGAGCAGGAGCATTTCCTTCTGCTGCGCAGCCAGTGATGGAAAAACAAGCAGGCGGTGAGCTCTTTGACTTCATGCCTTCCCCCCTCCAGAGGACAATAAGCTGCTTTTAATATCTGACATGTTTATTAACAGATGCAGTTGTGACAGCTGATGACTTCATATGCCACTTACCACTAAAATGTTAGTAATAACTCAGAATTAACTGTCATAAATAAAAAAGACTACAAAGACAACTCGATGGTGTGTCACTCTGCAGCAGTTTACTGAGACCCCGTTGGCTCTGGATGTGAGGCTAGAAGGTCCTTTGTGGAGCTCCAGTCCGGGTTTTGCAACAGTCACAATATTTTGGCTGGATATTGTCTTAGGAGGTGGTACTAGTGGGGTGGAATTCCCTCATGCAGGAGTTTGCACTGGATGCCTTTACAAAGCTGGATACTCTGGTAATAATAATAATAAAAAGCCCCGACCCTGTGGATGGGGATGGAGTCTACGGATTGAGACCAGGATTTATTAATGTGCAAATTGCTCTGATATGATCACATACTTTCTGCTTTGCATACGCAGGGAGCAGCGTGGGCTGATGGAATAGGAACTAGCCTGAGCGATCTTTATGAGCTGAGATCCTGCACATCGCAGAAGGGTTTGTTTCTCCGCGCAAAAGCTGGGACCCTGTAGAAACCTGCTTTAAAAAACAAGTGACCAAAATACTCAAATGCACCAGACTTCTTCATGAACTCGCCATGAATATATTTTTCATTTTTTTGGCAGAAACGTGTGTGGAACTTTCTCTGGAGGAACCGAGGATTTTTGTAGTTGGTCTTCTAGTATTTTAAATCTGAGGACCCAGTAGAGTCTTTTCTGCAGTGATGAGGGAGTGACAAGTTGGAGGTAAGGGCTTCAGCATGCATGTTTGTGTCGATGGAGCTTTTGCAATGTGGGCTGCTAATGAGGAACGTGAGCCGTGTCAGCATCCGACTGCGGGTTTGCCTTGTGCAACGTGGATAATGAGTTCAGACAATGAGAGCTGTGCGGAATCACAGCGCGATCTGTGGGATCCACGTCCCCCCACCCGAGGGGTGCAGGGAACCTGGGCTGCCGCGTGTGTCCCCTGCCACCGTGCCGCTTCCCGATCTGGGGAAGGGGACACGGAGAACGGGTCTGGATGTTGATCAGCTTGCTGGAGCTCGTTGTTGATCCTGGACTGGCTGCGGGGTCTCGCGAGCCATGGTGCGGCGGGTGGCCGTGCCCTGCTGCCCTCCACTGATCCCAGAGACAGGGAAAACGGGGGGACGGGGCAGTTAAGCAGATGCTGTGTTCAGTACTGCTGTGGCTGTGCCTAACCCAGCCTCCTGCCAGGCACCCATGGGGGCACGGCAGGCACCCAGAGAGCATGGGGTAAGTATGTGCTCCTTGGGGTTTCGGATGTGGGATCAGTGGAGAAATGGTTAACAGGGACCATGGCAATAATTAGACATGGTGTGAACACCCAGTGCTGATGTGCCTGGGAAGTGCTGCTGGATCTGTGGCTGCTGTGGGTCAGTGAGGGTTCCTGTGGCCGGGCTGGAACGTGGGTCCCCAGTGAGGCTGTGGGTCAAGGTGACACCTCCACACTGACAGAGCTGGGGTGCTGTGAGACGTGGGTGTGGGTGACCCTTGGGCTGCTGGAGTGTTTTATAGACTCGAGTGTGTTTGCTCCCTTGAACAGCCCTGGGGACAGAGGAAGGGTGTTCAGGTGATTCAGTTAAGGTTTGAAAGGTGCCTTACAGTAAAAGGCATTAAAACAGGGTAATATTGACAGAATGAAATGCTGCATGACAAGGCAGGCATGGAGCCTCCACTCTCCTGCACCAGGGTCAGCAGGTACCCACGCAAAAAATCCTGTCACCTGAGTGTCTGTGAACTTGTGGCAGCGTTTACAGTCCTATTTGGGGTGGCCAGGTCTGTGCTGAGATCCCACGGGGACTGGGACTTGCAGTGAAACATCTGCCTGCTGGAATCATTTTGTCTGAAGTCCATCCATGACCCTGGAGCAGGTGAGCTCCTGACTCCATCCTCTCATCCCCACTGTGGGGCCAGGGCAGCAGAGGCTGAGAGGGAGGATGGTGGCAGCACTGCAGGTCTGGGAATGCCAGCGCTGCGACATGCCTGGAAACCACCCTGGAAAAAGGTCTCGTTTCAGCTGGATCAGCTCCCCGGCCCTCGCACAGCCGCTGCGAGAGCAGCAGCACCACCCTGAGGGATGCAGCAGGGAGGAGCTGGGGTGAGGAGCACCCGCTCTGGAGGTGCAGGGCAGTGACTCCCTGAGCACAGCCGAAATGAGCTGGCCCTACCAGTGTATGCAGGCAAAGCAGAGCTGAGCATGAGCCCCACGTTTCCATTACCTGAGCTAGATGTGAGCTGGCAAAGCTCTGCCTGCACTGCAAGGCCAGGACTGCAGTGAGCAATAGGGCTGGGGGCCAGGTCAGCCCCCCTGGCCTGTGGGGACAGCCCTGGAGTGGGCAAAGGGACCATGCAGCTGAGAGAAGTGGCACTGGCAGCAGAGACTGTGCCCCAGGGCAGTGTGAGGGCAATCTGTTGTCTTGCCAAGAATGGAAGTGCTCGTCTGCCTAAGACCTGGCAAACACAGGCAGGCTTACAGTTGTATCCACCACCAACCTGCCTCCAGGAGGATCCTCTGGGATTGCAGCTTCCCCACATGCTCGTGGGCAGCAGGGTGAGAGGGGCTGGCTGCAGGATGCCCTTCATTGCAAACCACCCCGAGCGCTGCCAGGCCTGCAGAGCTCAGAGCTCAGTCCCCCCATCCCAGCAGTGCAGGGTGCTATCGTCCAACAAAAAGGCAGAATTTGGATGTCCTCAGTCCAGGCTGGCAGCAGTGGCTAGTCTGGAGGACACCCTGGCTGCCCGATTGCTCCCTCCCACCAGCCGAGTGCCCCGTCCTGCCCCATGCCCAGGCCTGAGGCTGAGGGTTATTTTTCCCAGTTTGTTTTCCTCTGCTACTGGAGTTCACACTGCTCCTGGCTCTGCAGGGCTCATGTTTCCCAGGCAGTGATGTCTCATTGGGAGAGCCAGAGCACCAGGAATCCCTGCAGGAAGGTCCACTTGGCAGATGGTTCCTGTGCACATGGCCAAGCAGAAAGTCCCAGGTGCTGCTCAGGGCTTTGCCCTGGGCTTTTGGGCTTTGGAGAAGCAGATCAGCACAGGGCCTATGGCTCACCGGGCTCCTTCCAACCTGCAAATTCGCATTTACAAAGCCGGCATTCAGGGTCCGTGGTGGAAGGAGCCCTAAGCACTTGACTGGACATGTTTACATCGAAATAAGAGGGGAACTGGGTATTGAGGTGAGCCTCAGCAACCGTGGCTGTGCTTCCAGGTTTGCATCAGACCCCATGCTCCCCATCCCTGTGGGGTCTCTGCGAGCAGGGCTGTACCTGATGTGGTGTGTGTCCATCCCGCACATCCCAGGGCACCTGCTGAGCATGTTCCTGCTCAGTAATGGACCTTTGGAGTTCATGAGGAGCCCTTTTGGGAGAAGAGCAAGGTTTTCAGTGCCCTGGTTTGTGCTGCCCCAAATTGTGTTGTTCTGAGCTTCCTGGTCTGAAATCTGCTTTGGTTCTGCTGTTGGCATTTGCTGTTCTGCCTTTTGTTGGCATTTGGGGAGTTATTGATCTGTAGGAAGCTCAAACTCACCTGAGCTGTACCTAATAGACCCAGGCTTGCTTTTCCCATGACTGTAGCCAGATGCCCAGGCAGTGTCCCAGTTGCATTACAGAGCTGTGTTTGCTGGGACAGCTCCAGTGCAATTCCAGATGCTGCTCTGGTTCTGTGGAGAAGCAGCAGTCGTGGACCCTGCAGCTTGCCTCAGGGCTCTGCCTCCTCCTCCTCCAGAGTGTGCCTCCTCGGCGCTGGCATGAAGGCCCTGGAAATCCCCCTGTAAAACATTTCCTGATGTTTTACAGCTCCGACGGACAAGCACTCCTGGAGGGAGGCCTGTGGCACTGTGGATCACAGGGTTACTTGGAGCAGCTACTGTGACAGGCACCGTGCGAGGCAAGCGAGGAGCCCGTGCCGAGCAGGGCCAGGGCTGGAGCTGGGGGCTGGAGAGGGGAATGGGGTGCTGCTGACCCCCGGGGCAGCTCCCACTGCCAGGCCAGGGCAGAGGGGCAGCCGCGAGCAGCAGCCTCTCCTCGGCGTATTCCCCATCAGCGGGTCACAGCACGGCTCCGCAGACCCAGGGAATGCAGTGCAGGAGCTGGTGGAAGGAGTCAGACCTCAACAATGCTGTGGAGAGCTCTGCTGCCAGATTGGGCTTTATTATTTTATTTTTTCAGTGAAGTTTATGGGTTGGGGATTTTGCAGAACTTGGCACTGGGATCTAATATCAAATGAAGACCTTCTGGTTCGGAAATGTGACTTAATGCAGCCGTCTTTTATTGTTTCAAGGATTAAGCAGAACAAAGTGGCTCTGCCTGTGCATGTGCAGAGACGTTTGCCAGAGGTGCATGAGACACTCTGTGGCAGCTGTGACGAGCCAAGCGTGGTGGGACCTTCCTCCACGGAGGGTTCCAGGGTGCTGCTCCCACAGCATCAGCCCTGCTGACAGGAAAACAGCATCAGGAACGCAGGGAGAGAGGGGGACTTGCACAAAGAGAACAAGGGCCCAAACCCTCTCCCTGTGGCCCTGGCTGCCTCCCTCCCGTGGCAGGGCTGGTGGAGCAGGCAGGGAGCTCTGCCACAGGGTCACCAGTGCAGGCACAGCAGTCACAGGCCTTGGGGAGCACCAGCACCATGGGTGCATCCCTGTGTGCCGGTAGAACAGGGACAGTGCTGCTGCCTCTGATACCTGGGTGCCATCATTGGTATTTGAGGGGTTTGGTATTTGAAAGTTCCACAAAGGCAGGCTGGGGAATGTGCTTGATCATGTGAAGATGGACTCTGCCCTGGGGCTGGGCAGGCTCAGGCTGAACTGTCCTAGCTGCGGACCTGGGACCAAACCAACCCAAGTGAGATTTTGTGAAACTGTGACTCCTCCTGCAGGAAACCTGTTCCTGCACATTCGCACCCCTCGCTGACTACCAAGGGGAAATTCAAATACCCTATCCAGCCCTGGGACCTGAAAAGCCAAATTCTCCCCATCACAGCTGGTGCCCAGCTGGCTGTTGCCAGTGACCCGGCAGTTCCCAGGGGTTGGTTCCTGCTGCTGCTGTAATCGGGCTTGTCCTGCCTCCAGCATCTGGTCCTTCTCTCCCAGGCTCAGTAAACCTTTGGAGAGCCCGTTTACATTACGGATCCCTGGTACGTTCAGCAAGAGGCAATATATCAGCAATTTAGTTATTGTGGATTAGGTCTTGAATATCCTGGGGATATAATGTCGGTCTTTCTCACCTTGTGTGTAGGAGGACTAATGGCAAATTATCTGGATAGTTTATATTTTCTGGTTTGTACTGGAGCTCCCAAGGACCAATTTATCCTGATTGAATTGCAAACAAGGCTTAGTGCCATCTCAGGCTCAGGGGCCAGGCCTCTCCATAAATGAATTCAGAGCAATTCAGGTTACCCCAAATTCTTCCTGTCAATGGGATAATGGCATAAATCCTGCTAATGTTTAGACTGGAAATTGTTTGCAGCAACCTGAGCTTGATTGATGGATGGAATAACAGAAAGAATCATAATTCGTGTCCTGAGGTGAGGGTGGGAAGAGCTGGCAGCCTGACCCTTCTGCTGCAGCCCCCTCCAGTGGGCTTGCCACAGACCCTGAGTGCTCAAGGAGGAGATCTGGAAACCTGTGGATCGTGTGTGACCTGCTGTGGCACTGGCTCTGCAGCACCTGGATGCCAGTGGCCTTTCTGTGATAAGTGGGCAGTCGTGGTCAAACCCAGGCTCTCTTCAGGCTAGAAAGCAAGGAAATAAGGAGGAAAAAGTGTGTTGTGCTTGTCTGGTTTGTGCTGCGGCCTCAAGGTTTCCCATGGCACTTCCCTGCCCTGGCGCTGCACAAGCCCTCAGGGATGGGGTACGTGGAGGTCGCACAAGCTTCACACTGGCTCTTGGCGCGCTGGGGCTGTGTTTGCTCTCTCCGGACATCCATCCCTGCTGCTGTCCTCGCGCTGGGGGACTGTGCCCAAACTGTGAGTGTTTTGTAAACACGGCGTGTGCTTCCTGCGAACGCCCTTCACCGGCAAAGCCGCCGTAATTAAAAGCCGAGGGCGGGCGGAGCAGGCGGCGGCCCCGCGCTCCCTCCGGAGCCGCTGGCGCTCGGTGCTCGTTTGGGGAGAGTTTGGGTCGTGCTGTCCTGACGTGCCTGCTCACACCAGCTCGTGTCCCCGGGCTGCTCTGGCCGGGCCGTGCATTGCCGTACCGTGCCACACCGCCTGTCTGGAGGGTCTCTCCTGACCCCACCTCGCAGGGATGCCCCGCACCATGCTCAGGTCCCCACACAAGATGCAGAGGGGCTGCGGGGCTAGAAGGATCCCCAGTCTGCACAGCTCTCTGCTCCCTAAATGCTCCCACAGCTCGGCTTAAGCACTTGACAGTGTTTATAAAGCAGCTTGCAGCAAACAGGCTTGGAAGTGCAGAAGAAGTTGGTGTTTACACGAGTGACTAATTATTTATTTGAAAATCCTGTGGACGAGCTGCGAGCTGTAACGACAAGCACATGGGGAGTGCTGGGCTCCTGCCCCGGCGGTCACAACAGGGATACGGTGAAAAGTTCAGAGCCACCGGGGTGGGGGGACAATGGCAGTGCCCCACAGCACCCGATGGCCTCCAGCCTGGCCAGCACGGGTGAGCCAGCGCTGCCGGGAGGTGCTTTAACCGGGCACAGCTCAGCGCTGTGGCGTGTGCTGCACAAGGCCTGGTGGTACCCGGGTCACATCTCCCTGCAGCAGCTGCCTCAAGGTGCTGCCAGCCCACACCTGCTGCTGGAGCAGCCCCCTCCTTTCAGGCATTCTTCTGCTGTAGCCATAACCCACCTCAGGGGGGCTGGAGCAAGGGGGCTGCTTGGGCCAGGGCCCTTTTAGCCAATCCCCCTCCCCAGGGTGGGTAAGGGAGAAGAAGACAGGCTGCCCAGGGCCCGTGTCCATCCCAGGCTGCAGCCAGGCTCCCTTCCAGCACCATTGCCACCAGTCATTTGGGGCATTGGTGATTGCGCAGTTATTATAAAGGGATTAAAACAATTTTCTGTTTCATTTGACTTCACAGAGCTAATGTTGTTGCCTTTATTCTCACACAATGGCTGCCGTCGGCGGGGCTTTGCTCTGCCAGCTGCAGAGAGGAGCTGGTCCCTGCCTGGCTGTGCCAGAGCTCTTGGTGCAGCCTGAAGTTCACCCTTCCTGCACACCAGGCACAGGGCACGGGGAAAACCACCTGAAAACCACATGGAAAATGCCCCTGGCCAGCAGCCTGGCAAAGCAAGGGCTTGGGCATTCCCAGGCAAGAACAGGGCATGTGGAGTCCTCGGCACCAGCAACCGCCCTCTGCCTGGGTTTCCCTTGGCTCTCCAGAAGTTCGTTCAGGGCCATCGGTTTGCTGCCCACACTGTCCTGTTGGTGTTGCCGTCCTGTTTCCCTGTCCTGCCACACACTCACCGTGGTTGGCAAGGGCAGGGCAGCACTCACAGCAGGGCCATGGGACACAGCGAGCCTGGGCAGAGCAGCTCCTGCTGACCCTGCCCTGTGCTCCAGGGAATGGGAGCTGGGAGGTTTGGAAATTCCCTTGGATCAGAAATACAGCATTTTGGGCAGCTCATGAAGGATCCCGTCCCCAGACAGCCCCTGCCCCTGCTGGGGATTGCAGGCTCGCTCTCTCTTCAGCTCGACTACCAGCCCCAGAGGTGCCCACTTGAATGGGAAACATCTTGTGTGCTTGGCACCCGCAGCAGCAGCCATCTGCCGCTTGGGGAGGGCAGCCCAGGGGTCTGGCTCTCTTTTAAACAAGTTCCAGCTATAACTGTTTGCAGCACTGGCAGATGGCAAAGCTGCATTGAGCATTTTGACGGGTGCTCACTATTAGCAAGAGGGACCTGTGGATGAGGCTGGAGTGGTTCTCCCCACGCCACTCGGGTGCCACCAGCACCTCCAGTTCACCCCACAGCCCCTGTGCTCGCCCCCAGCCATCGTGGGAGTGGTGCTGGCTGTTGAGTTAACCTCTTGTCCTCTTCCTTTGCAGTTTCTGTCAGTGCACCTGGAAACTGTGAGCAGCTAAAGCCTGCTGCCAAGCCCCCAATGGGACCAAGGCCAAGCTCCTGCGCTCCTCACAGGGATGAAGGTAGAGCCATGTTACCTGCTACCTAAGCTCTCTGGTGCTGATGTGGTTTGTGGATATGGTCCCAGACCAGGCTCCGTGCACAGACTCTCAGCTCTGATCCCACCTGAGACGTTTTAGCAGCAGCAGAGACCCCAGCTGTGGAGTGGGCTCCCCCGACCACCCCGTGACGGAGGGCCTGCAGCGCTGGAGAGTTACTATGCAGCTTGGACTGCTTGTGGTGGTGGTTTTTCTAAGCTCGATGGATCTAACAGGCAGCAGCAAAGTGGTGAAGGGCAAGAGGCAAAGACGAAGTATGTATGAAATGCTTTTCTTCTCTCCTTCCTCTCGTGGTGCCGGGCGGGTCACGCGGGTGCCGACGTGTTCCCAGCACAGACGGCTGGGCAGGGCCTGCCGTGCCCTGCGACCTCCCCCAGTCCCACTGCCGGGCACAGACACAGTGCCCTGTCCCTCTGGACCTGCCAAAGCCCCGAGGTCACGGAGGGGTCAGTTATCCCTCCTGCCCAGAGGGTCCCTGGCCAGGGCTCACGTGGGGCAGCCAAACAGAACTGGCACAAGAGCAGCCACAAGCATTTGCCCTCCTCTATGTAAGCTCATGTTAGAACTGTTTTACGTTAAAACTGTTTTAAATTAAATTATATAACATTGATTTGATATTAAAACTGGGACTGCTGAGCCCTGGGAGAACAAGGAAAACCTGACATCATGGCTAATGCTATAAAGGGCAATTTCCAACAAGGGCCCAGTTTATACCTTTGCCATGGATGCAGAGCTTGGGGCCACGGCTCAGTGCTGCAGGAGGGATGGGGTCACATCCCCGAGAGGTCCCTGCATAAAGGGGCCAGGGCACACAGTGCCAAGTGGCATCCAGACCCAGTGAACCCTCCTGGCAGTCGGGGGGCTGGGGGCTTCGGGATCCCTGCTGGGGACCCCCTGCTTTCTGTGTCACTTCCCCAGGCTGTGGCAGCCCACAGACCCACAGACCCGGCAATGGGGCTGGGGCAGGCGGGGGGGCTGCTGGGCTCTCGGGTCATGGTGAGGGGACAGGGGAGTTCTCTTACCTCTCCTCCTGGTACGTGAACACTGTGCTGCTCTGCGCTCGCTTTTGAAGTGTAGTAAACAAGGTATTTAAAAGAATACATCTTTTAAATACACAGCTTTTCTATAAACAAGGACATGGCTTGCATAATAAACTAATAAAAATAACCTGCATTCTAGCCCATAAAGAATGCGATTGGTTTCAAAACAACCAGCATTTTACATGATAATTAAAAGCAGAAAACTCTCAAGACATGGGATTGAGTATTTTTCTTGGACTGAACATAGGAGCTGAGAACACATCTCTATTTTGGGGGCAGTGACATCTCCCGACTGCCAGAGAGAGTTTAACATAGGCAGGGTCAGAGCGAGCTCCAGCCTGGGATGCAGCATGGGTGGAATTAGTCAAACAGTTTCACTCCAGGGCCATGTGCTCTGGTCCCCACCGGTCCTCGAGGTGGAGGCACCGCCAGCTCCAAGCAGGGAGGCTGCAGGAGGTGCTGGAGCCCTGGGCACGTGGCCATCGTGAGTGTCTGCCCCACACGTGTGTCAGGACTGACAGGCAGGGCTGGGAGCAGTAAGAGAGGCAGTGCTGGGGCTCTGGGTACAGCTGGTGGCTGCTTCTGGATCCTGCTCCTCACCACTGCCACTGTGGTGACTCTGTGCTCCAGGCAGCACTGGTGCCTCTGGGCACCGGGCACGGGGCTGTGGTGCCCAGCCAGAGTGGGCTGGGAGCGTGTCAGTGCTGCAGGACCCCAGCCCTCGCTCTGCCTCAGTTCTTCCCCTTCCTGCCCATGGTGCTGGTGGTTTGGGGTCACAGCTGGTGCCTGCAGAGCCTGGCACTAACCACCACCTCTCTCCTGCTCTTCCAGTCAGCACTGAACTGAGTCAGGGCTGTGCCAGAGGCTGCGACCTGTGCTCTGAGTTCAATGGGTGCCTGAGGTGTTCCCCCAAACTCTTCATCCTTCTGGAGAGGAACGATATCCGACAAATTGGGATCTGCCTGCCTTCTTGTCCACTGGGATACTTTGGCCTTCGCAATACAGACATGAACAAGTGCATCAGTGAGTGTGGGGATGGGAGGGAATGGGCACGGGTGGGTGGCAGAGCTCTGGAGGGCATTGTGTGCCTTCGCTCGTGGCTGTATGGAAGGGGAGAGCATTGCTGAGCAGGGCAGTCACCTGCCCTGGCAATAACCCTCACTCAGCACCACATAGGCATGCTGTGGGCACGGGATCTTGCAGGATGTTTGGGCAGCTCTGTTCGGGCTGCCAGACTGGCACCATTTTCCTCTGGGAGGAGGGGGATCCTTTCAGCCATTTAGGTACTGCTCAGACAAGTGCCTTTTCTCCTCCCCTCCTGCTCACCATAGCCAGGCAGCTCTGAGGGAGATCATTGGCCTGTGGCTACCTCCTGCAACCAGAGCACCAGAAAGAGCTGGACATGGAAACATGTGATCACTCCTCTGGCAGTTCATGCACAGCACCTTCCTGGCAAGGCTTCCACATAACTCCCTTTCCATGCAGCCCGTCCTGTAGCTGCAGTTGTTGATCCAGGACTTTGCACTGTCCCCTTCAGCTGACTGATGATCAGCTGCATATCAGCCCAAAACTTTTCCACCCTGTCTGATTCTGTCCTGGCAGCAGCTGCTGTGGGCCATGAGAGCTGCAGCACAGGTCTGCCCTGTACAGGGAATGGTGCAAAAAAACCTGACTTCTGAGTGGCACAGTCAGGCCTGGCAGGACACTTAGAGACAGCTCAGAGATGTGCCCTGCTGCTGGAAAATCCCTGGGAGCCACGACTGGGCTCTGGTTGGCAGTGTGGATCTTCTTGTGTCTTTTGCTCACATCAGATTACATGATGGCTTTGGTGTTTTTTTCCTCAGAATGCAAAATTGAGAACTGTGAGTCCTGTTTCAGTCGAAACTTTTGCACAAAATGTAAGGAAGGTTTGTATTTGCACAAAGGGAGATGTTACGTCACGTGCCCCGAAGGCTACGCTGCTGCCAACGGCACCATGGAGTGCAGCAGTCCTGGTAAGTGGCCTCAGCAGTCCTGGCAAGCGGCCTTGGGCCCAGTGGTGGGCGGGGGTGACGGCACAGCCAGACCCAGCTGGGGCAGAGCCCTCTGGGAACCAGCCTGGATGGAGAGCAGCCCCCAGGGTTTGTGAAGTGCGACCCAGAGCTGGTGTGGTGCAGTAAGGAAGGAGGTGCTTGGGAATTTAGGAAGCTGCTGGGGAAACACACATTCCCTTCCAGCCTAAGGTGGGGGAGAGATGCGATGTTGTGCAAGGGCTCTGGGAAGGCCTGAGGTAGCAATCCAGGAATGGGAGTTACTGCTGAGCTCTCTTCTTATCTGGCAGCACAATGTGAAATGAGTGAGTGGGGGCCCTGGGGGCCCTGCTCCAAGAAGAGGAAGCTCTGTGGCTTCAAGAAGGGCAATGAAGACCGAACCCGGCGGATTCTGCAGGCTCCCTCTGGAGACGTGTCCCTGTGCCCACCCACCACAGAGGTGCGCAGATGCACTGTGCAGAAGAGCCAGTGCCCTGAAGGTGAGCAGAGGGGGAGTCTCTCGCTGTCCCTCCCCACACCCTGTATTGCTCAGTCAGACACAAATATTCAGCTGGTTGTCCAGTGTCACAAATGCACTGCACAGCTCCCTAACCCTTTATGGAGCAGGGTACACAATGTGATGGCAGCTAGGAAGAGCCCTGGGTGGAAGAGGCATGGCCCCCAGGGTGAAAGGGGCATAGCTTCCAGGGGGGGTGATGCTCAGCACAGCTTGCTGCATGTCCCACAGGCTTTCAGCTATTTAGCTTCTTCCCTGGCCGAGAGCAGCTGAGGGTGCATGCCTGTGTGCTGCCACAATGGGGTTTGTCCTCCCTACCAGAATGCTCAGGTCTATTTTTCACAGGAATTAGAGTGTCCTCAGGATGAACTGTGGTTTGGTTATCCTGTTATAGGATGGACAAGGATTGCAGCTGGGTTGAGTGTTCTGAGGTAAAACAGTTCTGAGCAGTCACTAACAGCACAGGGATGAACCAGCGGGGCAGGGGGAGGTGGGCACAGCCAATCCATCCCCTCATGGCTTGTTCCACCAGAGAGCCTCATACTGCCTCTTTGCTTTACTGCAGGGAAAAGGAAGAAAAAGGAAGAGCAAGGAAAGCAAGATAATGGAAATAGAAATCGGAAAGACACCAAAGACACTAAGTCTGGCACGAAGAAGAGGAAGAGCAAACAGAGAGGGGCCGTGGTGCCTGTGACGCCTGCCAGCCCTGCCCAGTAGCTGGCCCTGCGCGTCACCGATGGCAAGACTCCATTGCTGCTATGTATATGAAAGCTTTATTGAACAGAGCACTGCTACACCACACCTACACGTGTCCAGACAGACATATACTCCAGACTGATCCAGAGACCAACAGAGGCCATGCACACAATACTTCAGGAGGCTGCACACACCCGGGCCCGGGAAGGACAGAAGGACACTGCCGAGGAGAGGAAGCGCACACAGAGAGGGGAAGCCCAAGGGTCCAGGGCTCTGCGGGGACACTGCGGGGAGGAGAGGTGGAGCATGAGCCAGCAAAGGACACAGATGTGAGATTTCATGACCAAAGGCCTCAACTGGAGCCTGAGTGCGTGGCCCCACACAGCCCCAGTGCAGCCCCACAGAGCCAGGGGATGACTGGACTTGCACGGCTGCTCACCCCAACCCGGGACCCAGACACACATGGCAGTGGCCTCTTTCTCTTTCCCATACCCTTTATTTTGTGTTTTAAGCTGTATGACTTTATCATTGCAAATACATGTTAAAAGTTTGTGGTAAGAAGTCAGTGGTATCTGCCCTGAATCTGCTTCAAAGAATTATTTCAAATTAAAAAAAAAAAAAAAAACCAACAAAAAAAAATCCCCAAAAAAACCCCAAAAAACAAAATGACAACCAGCTTCCTGAGTGTGTGGTTCATACCTTGGCCCCTATGGAGGCTGGTGTCCCACAGGACAGAGACTCACTTGTGGAAGGGAAACTCACCAAAGCTTTAAGAAAATCCCAGAGAATGCTGCCAGCTGCACTGCAGCCACAAACCAGCTGCCCTGCACACAGGACCCCGGCTGTGCCCCGCCGAGCCCCGAGGAATTCCCTTCTGAAGGATCCAGTTAACACACAGCAAATTGAGAAAATGAGAGGTTACAACGAACCACAGGTTGCCGAAACATTGTGACTCCGCTCGGACAGTCACAGCTGTGGGACTGTGGTGGGCTGGGGACACACTGGTCCAGCTACTGGACACCACCCCAGCAAGTGGCAGGAGGGAGGCAGGCAGGAGGGGAAGGCACAGCTCAGGTTCTGCAGAAGAGAAATAAATTTTTAAGTTGGGTAGAAACTACTTGTCTGCATGCCACCATCTGGAATTCCCTGGAATTCTCCTGCTCTGCACGAGCCGACATCTGGACAGAGGAATCAGGACAAGGATTGTGCAGAACAGACCTAGCAAGGCCCATGCAGGGTGCGTGGGAATGCTGTCAGCTCTGCACGGGGAGTTCTACCTTTGGTGGTGTCACAAAGTGCCACATCACTCACTGACCTTGCATTTTAAAATGTGCTTCCTCTGTAGAATTGTGTGGAGACACATTTAATTCTTCCAGAGATCACCAAAAGCCCTCTGGTCCTGAGGGATGGAGCTGGGGAGATGCTTGGCTCCCAGAGATGTGCCCCGGGTGGATCAGGGACATGCTGCTGGAGCTCCAGCTCCCCTGGGAGGGTGATGGGCAGGGGAAAGCTCACCCCAAACTAAACCTGGCGAGTCCGATCATCACTTTGTACATCCCTCTGCTCTGTGGTTTTGGAAGGTAGAGCGAGCCAGCGGGTGTGAGGGGACACCTGTGGGAGAGCCCCCATCTCTCTAAGGGGTCAGCTGCCCCCACCTGCAGCCCTGGGTCTCTCCTGCAGCTCACGGCGCCCGCTGAGGACTCAGCTCTGGCACAGGACACCCCGACTCCCTTCCCCGCCGCCCCGGGGCTGGCTCAGCTCGCTGCAGGACATGGGGGCTGCACAGTTGTTTCAGCTCCGGAGCTGTACCAAGCCCTCCGTGACTGCTCTGCTGGCAGAAAACCTTTCAGCCCATCATCCACTTTGTGTTTAAGTAAACAAGAAGCTGTTACATCTTTGAAAGGGGATTCCATTTCAGCACAATGATAAACGACCAGCATACCAAGCAGGGAGAGAAAGAGGCTCTTAAAAGTCATGCTTTGAGTTGTTTACGGATCATGTTCAGACGATTCCTGAAAGCCTCCTAGCTGAAAGATCCGATCTCATTCTATTTTCTAGCCTGTGAGAGAAGTATTTTGTTTGTGCCACGGTGTTGCATGTGAGCAGAACCATTTTCCCTTCCGCTTTCAGCAGCACCCACCAGTGACCTGCTGATGAAGCTGAGCTCACTCCCTCGCTGTGCCTCCCTCCTGCTGCCCTATCCCCATCCAGTCCTCAGCAAGGATTAGGGAAAACAGAGAGTGCACAAGGAAGGTTTTCTACACGAGGCTCTGTTAATGACTCGATTCCCTGCAGTGACTCCTGGCACTATTAGCACAACTATTTCAAAACTAAACTGCATATAATAAATGAACAGAACCTATTTTAGAGAACTCTAGAGATTTTTAGAAAAACTGTCAAACTTCTTTTGCTTGTAGCCTCTTCCCTTCTTTCTTCCTTTTTCATAGCAAAATGGAAAGAAAAAGGGACAAAGACAACAGGAAGTTTAAAATGCATATTAAGAATATCCAAGATTTTTCAGTATGGTAATTTTAAAATTAAATTGGTTTAGAACAATTAGGAGAAAAAACATAAGAAATAAATCAATTTTTTTATTATTTTTTGAATCAGCTCAAGAACTGTGCTTATTCCCACTCCCAGAGAGCAGGTTTAGTTATGAATTTAGGAACATTATGCCTTTGACCAACGTGAACTGCATGCTGAGCTCCCCAGTCCAAGCTGAGATGTCCTTAGCAAGGTGATGTCACCTCAACTCACACGCACATGAACGTTCTCTTTCCGCCCACCAAATAACCCTGTTGTGGTGTTCTCTCCATGGCATCACTGTAAAATACACATGTTTAAACAAATAAATCAATAAATGGGTTTGCTGAAGCAGCTTAATTTGTTTATTCATCAAAATTGGAGTCAAATCCCAAATAACCAAAAATGTCCACAGACAGAGCAAGCCTCTCCTGAGAGCCGTCTGTCTACATCCAGGAGCCAAAGGAATCGACACAGATCATGATGGGAACATCACTGCTCTGACTCCTGGGCGTGTTCCCACCCTGTGCCTCGACCAGCTCGATGCTGAACTGGAGAAGCAGCTGCTGGATGGACAAACAGACAGACAGATCCTTTGTCAGGAACTCTGCTGCACAGAAAACATCCTTATTTTCCCTGCTGAACAACCTGGTATTATTCACTGGACAGAATTCCACTCAGAATCCGCAGGACAGTTTCTAGGCAGTTTCCTCAGCTTTTGGGCAACCCCTTCCATGCCATGGGGGACAAAGGGCCAGGAATAATGAACAGCTTACAGTCGTGGGTTTGAAACAGTTCAATTTCTCTCTCATTTGCTGAGATTTAGAAACTAAAGCAGATGAATGTCACCAAACACAGGTCGGTTCTATCCTGTTCTTACCCTCTCTGGGTAATATAAATCTGTATTTTTTGTCAGTCAATGAACTGTGTGCACACACTCCTCATGCAGTAATTCACTGGCTTTCTGCCCCAGAGAGGTAGGGGCAATGTACATACTGCTTAGCCCGTGTTTATGTTAAAATGGTTTCTCACTCAGAAGAAATCTTACCTTTGATTAAAGGAAACAGAGTAGAATAGTGAAACAGGTTATCTCCAACACTATTGTTTGGATTATATTTTCTGAGGACACTAAAAAGGATAGCTCAGATATATATTTACAGATTTTATTAAGTCAATAGCCTTCACAGAGAGAGTGAGAGATGTTAGGCACCATGCTTTAAAAAATCTCTATTAAAATTACAGAAATACCAGTGTATTTAACCAGTCACCATAAATAAATCACCCTGATCACCTTTATGTACACAGTAATACATCACACCCAACTGAATGCCAAACCATAGTTTAGATGGAGCTTCTTGCTGGAATCTCCATGATTTTTGAAGAGCAGCAGGATCTTAGTAAGAAAAAAAGAGGCAGCCAGGTAGGTTGTGTTGTTATTTACAGCCCGAGGTGAAGTGCCAGGTTAGAGGCACTGACAGGGCTGCTCAAGGCCATGGCCCCTCTTGTGCCCCATGGGAACCCAGCCGGACAGGGAAGTTACTTTTCATCACTGATAAAATCAAACACCACAGGAAAACATTTACATGTAACTGCTTTAGCCCTCAGGGTGCTGGTGAACTCCAGGTCTCTGTGCCCAGAGTGAAGCCGAGGGCTCTGCAGAGCGGGCACAGCTCTGAGCCCCCCGCGCTCCAAGGGCTCAACCCTGCTGGGCACAGCTCAGCCTGGGCTCTCCAAGTCCTCTTACACCTTTTGGCCTTTTTTCTTGACTTGGGTTTTCTCCTCCCTCCTGACTTCCAGTCCCCATTTTGGGAACAGTCTGGGATCACTTTGGTTTTTCTGTTCTGGAGCCATCAAACCTGGAGCCTTTTGCCAGGGAGCCTCTTGCTCCTGTCAGCTGTATCCCTGGAAAGCTATTCCTCAGGAACTGAGCCGGGAAAGCTGCTGTGCTGATAAACCACCTATGGTGTCTTCTGGTTGTGATTTTGAAGATGAGCTACAAAGGCCACTTGAGTCCCTGTGCTCTGCAGGGAATCGCTGCAATAGAGTGAGATGGCTGATGCTGCTTTATCCTGTTAAATAAAACAGGAGCTCGATACCACACTGAAAAAGGGCTCTGAGTGCAAGTCCAGTCTTGTTCTGAACTCTTGGAAATCTACTTTTCCTTCATTTAATTGACAAAATGTGTAGATCACACAAGGAAGACAGCCCCTGCCAAAAATCCAACATCACTAGTTTTTAATAATACAATGGGAATAACCCCTCAGAACATATGTAATTATGGGAATGAGTCATTCCAATGGCATCATGTAACCCTGTTCCCTGGGATTTGACAAGGATGAGGCCACGTAAAACTCAAAATTATTTCATTTCAGCCCTGGTCAGGGCAGTGGTGCCAAGGAGCTGAGGCTGTGTGGCAGAGCTGATGGACACCGAGCTCCAACCCCGCTGTCCCGGGCGGTCCCACTGCACCCAATGGACACAGGGCAAGAGAAAGTTAAAGATCCAAAGGGAAGGGATGCATAAATAGCAAAGGAAAAGCTGTGAGTCATAGAGTAACAAAAGATCAGTTTAGAGGAACAATATTCGACCCATACTTATCAGATACACAACAAACAGCCGCGGGGACACCGCCAGTTAAACACCAACTGTTAGCCCCAGTGATGGAATTTGGGTCAGGGAACATGTGAGAACAAGGAGAGTGCAGCAGAAAGGATGAGTTGGTGCCAGTCTGAATGCAGGTCCCACACGTGATCAGCAGGATCTTAGGACAGAAAATCCCGCCCATAGCCCACTCCAACGGGGACAAACTGTGAGCACAGCCAGGGACAGGGGCTGAGCCCTCACTGCCAAAGCTTCCAGCCTGGGAATTCAGCACCCAGCTCTGAGGCATCCCCAAGACAAGTTCTCCACACCACAACCTCCTGCCCAAACCTGGCTGGGTTTGTTCTCTCACAGAAAGAGACAGGGACCTTCTGGCTGCACCCCAAGATCTCTTGCTAACAATAAAGAAGGAGTTTTCTTAAGGGAAAGGAAGAAAGAGTGGGGGAGAGCAGAGCAAGTATTACTCAACTATTTAGTCTAAAATTTTGAAAATCAAAAGGATCTTCTGACAGATTGATATCGACTCTAATAGAAAA